GACACTTTTATTCAACATAGTACTTGAAGACCAAGCCAGAGCAATTAGGCAAGGAAGAGAAAAGCTGTCCAAGTCAAAAAGTAGTAGTAAAATGGTATCTATCTGCAGATGACGTATATAGAAAACCCTAAAGATTCCACTAAAATGCCATTAAAACCGATAAATGAATTCAGTAAAGCTGCAGGATGGTAAATCAATATACAGAAATCAGTTGTGTTTCTATACACTCATAATGAAGCATGAGAAAAGAAGTTAAGAAAACAGGACCATTTACAATAGCATCAAAAAGAATACTTAGGGAAAAATTTAACCAAAGCAATGAAAGATGTGAAAACCATAAGACATTGAAGAAACTGAAGATACAAATAAATGGAAAGATATTCCATGTTCGTGGACTGGAAGAATATTGTTAAAATGTTCATACTCCCCAAAGTGATTGACATATTTAATGCAATCCCTATCAAAATTCCCAAGGCATTCTTTCACAGAAAGATCATAAAATTTGTATGAAACCACAAAATAAAATAAATAAAACTCCAAATAGCTAAAGCAATCTTAAGAACAAACTCAGCTGGAAGCATCACACTTCCAGATTTCAAACTATAGTACAAAGCTATAATAATCAAAATAGTGCGGTACTGGTATAAAAACAGACACCTAGATCAATGAAACACTGTAAGAGAGCCCCAAAATAAATGCATTCATATATGATCAGTTAATTTACAACAGATGAGCCAAGAATATACAAGGATATATACAGGAAAGGGGAAGAAACTACAATGAACGGTATTGGGAAAATTGAACAGGCACATACAAAAGAATGAAACTGGATCCCTACCTTACACCATACATAAAAAGCAATTCAAAATGGATTAAAGATTTGAACATAAGACCTGAACTGTAAAATTCCTGGGAGAAAACATAGCGGGTAAGCTCTTTGACATCAGTCTTGGCAATGATATTTTGGATTTGACACAAGAATGAAAGGCAACAAAAGCAAAGATAAACAAGTGAGATTACATCAAATTAAAAATCTTCTGCACAGCAAAGGGTACCATCAACAAAGTGAAAAGGCGGGGCACCTGGGTGCTCAGTCGTTAAGCGTCTGCCTTCGGCTCGGGTCGTGATCCTAGGGTCCTGGGATCGAGCCCCATGTCAGGCTCCCTGCTCTGCGGGAAGCCTGCTTCTCCCTCTCCTGTTCCCCCTGCTTGTGTTCCCTCTCTTGCTGTGTCTCTGTCAAATAAATCTTTAAAAAAAAAAAAAAAAGTGAAAAGGCAACCTGTCCAAGTGGAAGAAAGTATTTGCAAACCATGTATCTGATAAAGGGTTAATATCCAAAATATATAAAGAACTCATATGACTGAAAAGCAAAAAACAATCCAATTTGAAAAATGGGCAGAGGAACTGAACTTTTTTTTTTTTTTTTTTAAGATTTTACTTATTTAAGTAATCCCTAACACCCAATCTGGGGCTCGAACTTAAAACTCTGAGATCAAGAGTCACATGCTCCACCGACTGAGCTAGCCAGGCACCCCTGAACAGACATTTTTCCAAAGACAGCATACAGGTACATGAAAAGGTGCTCAACATCACTAATCATCAGGGAAATGCAAATCAAAACCACAATGAGACATGTCACACCAGTTAGGATGGTAACCATCAAAAAGAAAAGAGGTAACAAGTGTTGGTGAGGTTGTGCACTGCTGGTGGAAATATAAATTGGTGCAGCCACTGTGGTTAATAGTATGGAGGTTCCTCAAAAAAATTAAAAAACAGAAGTACCCTATGATCCAGAAATCCCACTTCTGGGTACTTATCCAAAGGAAATGAAAACGGGTTCTTGAAGAATTATCTGGACTGCCATGTTCACTGCAGTATTATTCACAATAGTCAAGCTCTGGAAACTTAAGTGACTATCAGGGAGGGATGGATTAGTAAAGATGATGTAGTGTATACAGTATATATACATGTATATACATACACACCATCTACAGGATGCAATATTATTGAGCCATGAGAAAGAAGGCATCCTGCTCTTTGCAACAATACTTTGAGGGCATAATGCTAAGTGAAATAAGGCAGAGAAATACAAATACTGTATGTTCTCACTTACACGGGGAATCTTAAAAAGGTGAACTCCTAGAAACAGACTAAACTGGTGGTTACCAGGAGCTGGGGAGTGGGGAAGAGGTGTTGGTCAAAGCGCACACACTTCCAGTTACAAGAGAAGTAAATTCAGAAAATCTCATGTACAGCATAGTGATTACAGTGAATAATATTGTATCGTATACTTGAAAGTTGCTATGTTCTTACCCATAAATGGTGATTATGTGACATGATGCGGGTGTTTGCTAATGCTGTGGTGGTCATCATTTTGCAACATGTAAGTGCACCACATCAACACGTTCTATACCTTAAATGCACACAATGTTATGTGTCTTTTTTCTGTGAACTGTGGGAGGAAAAAAAAGAGGTTTTGTGGTGTTGTTTTGAGAGAAGATGCCAAGTTCTTGGTGGCAAAAGGACTTGATGTTTGATATGGTGTGATAATGATGATGCCTAGACAACTTATTTCTTCAATGACTTTCAAAGGTATACTTCAATGAGAAACTCCTAAGAAGCCTAAGCAGTAACAAATACAAAAAAATCGCCTTCCCACTTTGTTAGAATTCAGTGACCTAGTATCACTGGCAAAACCAATTCAACCCAGTCTGTATTTGTACAGGGAAATGATCTCTGGGACCTCACTGAACAGACAGACCACACAAACCCATCCCATGTTAGGAGCTGGGGGACCATGGGTTAGCACTTTCCGGGCATACTGGGTGGGTGGTCACCCTCAGGGCCGTTCTATGTGCACTTTTCGGTGACCATACTGGCAGTGTCATTAAAGAACTTTTCCAAGATGCTCCTACACACAAGACGCTGGACTGTGAGGTACAGGTGTGCAAAGATGAAGAAAGGGGAACAACAGCAAATGGGTTTCTTCCTTCCTTTCTGGAAGTTCTGCGGGTGCTGCACTGGAGTGCAATTATCCTATTTTTTCGCTGTGTGGTTTCTAAAGGTCACTCTGGAAAGGGATATGCAATGGGCGACCCACTGCAAGTTGTGGGATGTCTTCCACAGGAGCAGCTCCAGAACAGCCCAGCTTGGAGGCAGCACTGGTCTCCCGCCAGGGTATGTATATCCTGGCTCTGCAACTTGATGGCTATGAGACCCTGATCAAGTCACCAACCTCTCTGTGCCTCGCATTTCCTCATCTGTAAAATGTGGATAGTCATAGTACACACGCTTCATATGGATGATATAAGAATTAAGTGAGTTCATACATATAAAGGTTTAAAATTGTACCTGGTACACAGAAAGTGCTCAGTAAATGTTACCTTCTCTCTTTATCACCATCTAAGAAGGGGTTTTGTTCATTCTCAAGAAAAAGATGTGAAAAGAAAAGACCAGAGGTGATACTGTATTATTTCTAACACCTGGGATGGAAAGACCTATGTCCTCATTTTCAGGGACAGATCAGACGGCGAGTGTTGGGGAAGATGGCCTCCTATCTGACAGGGGGTAGCCCAACTCTGGAGAGGAAAGGACCATAGCTGAAACTTCCAATATGGAGGCCTGGAACTCAATTGACCAAGAAGTTTTCGAATAAATATAACCTCTGACAAAAATGGGGAGGAACAAAACTCATTCTAGTGTCACGCAAAGCCTAAAAAGGAGAAATTCTTAAGAGGTGTTACTTCACTAGATGATTTTTGGTTTATATACTATGATACCAAATAAAATTATGAAAAACAAAACCGCATGGGATTACACATAACATTTTTATTGAGAATCTGTAGTTACAGAGAATTCATAGGCCTTCAGTTACATTATATGGGTAAGATGCTGGACAGCAAACATGGTTACCAAAAGTCATCTGTTTCTTCATGAGAAAAGCCCGTGAAACTAAATTAGGGAAAGATAAAAACAATTTTAATTTATTAAATTCTTGTCAAGTTTATTCAGGGATCTTTATGATGTTCACATTCTTTCTCCGTGGGGTTTTCCGCCCTTGCTTAAGCAATTTTACAAATTAAAAAAATGCAACAGATTCTTTTTTTGAAGTCCCTAATTTTGATTGTTTCACTAATTTCTTACAGGGACACTCAAATATCTGAACGTTTCCCTTGGCTGACACACCAGCAACTTAATGGTCTGTGTAGGAACACCATATTGAGGAAACCATACCTTTCGTCTTTGTCGCTCGATGGCACTGTGTCCACTTCTGAGGCTTCTCTGCCAACCTTTGAACTCTGATACAAAGAGGGAAAAAGAATCTTGAAATTACATTATGTATCAATTTTATTCAACACTTTGATTTCTCTAAGGACTAATTTGAGATACATATGCAACTTAAGAGTCTAAAAAAGAGGTGACTTTTCAACATGAAATTCAGCAAGCCCATCAAAATAAACTATCTGGTACCCATTCTCAACACCCACAGTGTGCGAGACTGAAGTAAAACATCGATGTTTCAGATGGTACTAATGCATTCATTATTCATGAACAGACCTTTCATTACATTTCTTTCTTGTTCTTAAAATGAGAGACATCCTAATTTTTATAAAATTTGACAAATCAAAACCTCTTCAATCTTTCCCCAAGCAAAGCGATGAAATTTTGTCAAGAGTGTCATGTATCAAAAAGACTCAGGGCTCTATCTGAATTGTGGATTTTCTATGCTTCTACCTTTTTGTCTCCAATGAGGAAGGCAGATTTGGGTCCTACAGCCTTCTAACAAACCAAAGCATCCCTCGGCAACCCCCTCCACAGAAGGCCGGTCCACAGCATCAGCACCTTATCTGCTGCCTCCTGGTCTTGATTCTGCTGAATAATTTTCATGTATTTCTCCAAAGGATTTTCACCACAAACAGATTTGTCTTTCATTTCTTCAACACTCATTTCTAATTCTTTTTCCATTTCAATCTTCAATGATTCTTCAATCATCCTCTGTGGAATAGACAGGTGCCAAAATAGGAAACATACAGATACATTAAAACAACTTGTAAGTGTTTAAAAAGGCATAGTAACATAATCCTGGTCCTTTAAGTACAACCTGCATGCCAAAGAACTGTTTTTTTAATTGAAGTCATTGCTACCAAAGGGAGACAAACAGGTCATCTCAATGAAGGAAGGAATTAATTTGCCTCAAGGGCCTGTGCTTTAAACCAAATTAACCAGGAGTCCAAGGAACATCCATATCGAAGATGAATTTTGGTAAGACTCAGCGGGTCTGTGCAGTGGCCAGAGTAACCCATGAGTCTAGGACCAGAATCAGGACCTAGAAGGCCAAAAGAGAACCAGAGGAAGGAGGGCAGGGGAGGCCCTGGAAGTCATTGCTGACCAGCAGTCACTTTCTCAGGGTTACTCTAGTCCCTGCTAGCTAACCTTGGAAGTCTTCTTTAAACCCCATTTAAAAGGGTGCCCGGGTGGCTCAGTCGTTAAGCGTCTGCCTTCGGCACAGGTCATGATACCCAGGGTCCTGGGATCGAGTCCTACATTGGGCTCCCTGCTCCGCGGGAAGCCTGCTTCTCCCTCTCCCACTCCCCTTGTGTTCCCTCTCTGGCTGTGTCTCTGTCAAAAAATAAATAAAATCTTAATAATAAAAAAAAAAGAACCCCATTTAAAAAGGGAAGACCTATAGCAAAGCAAAGCCCACCTCCTTTACAGCTTGTTTCCAGGACCAGATGAGAACACAAGTGAGCTTGCAAAAGCTCCCCTTTGTTGCTAAACTCCTAAGGGCTATGTTATACATAGCCTTTCTCAGTGCTCTTAAGCAAAGAAGACTGGGATGCCTACAGCAGGCTTTTAATGCTAAACTTAATAATAATACTAAAATTTGTATGGAACCTCAAAAGACCCAAAGAGGCAAAACAATCTTGAAAAAGAAGAAGAAAGCTGAAGGTATCACAAGGCCAGATTTCAAGATACACTACAAAGCTATAATAATCGAAACAGTATGGTACTGGCACAAAAAAAGACACATAGATCAATGGAACAGAATGGAGAGCCCAGAAGTAAACCCATGTTTATATAGTCAATTGATCTACGACAAAGGAGGCAAGAATATACAACAGGGAAAAGACAATCTCTTCAATAAGTGGTGCTGGGAAAACTGGGCCACTTTCTTAAACAAAAATAAGCTCAAAATGGATTCAAGACCTAAATGTGCAACCTGAAACCAAAGGAATCCTAGAAGAGAGCACAAGCAGTAACTTCTCTGACATCTGCCTTAGCAACATTTTTCTAGATATGTCTTCTGAGACAAGGGCAACAAAAGCAAACAACAACAACAAAAAACAAACAAAAAAACCCAAAAACCTATTGGGACTCCATCAAGATAAAAAGCTTCAGCACAGTGAAGGAAAGCATCAACAAAACAAAAAAACAACATGTTGAATGGGAGAAGATATTTGCAAATGATATATGCAATGAGGGGTTGATATTCAAACATATAAAGAACTTACACAACACCAAAAAACCCAAACAATCCAATCAAAAATGGGCAGAGGACCTGAATAGACATTTCTCCAAAGACATTTAGATGGTCAACTGACACATGAAAAGATGCTCATCATCACTCACCACTGGGGAAATACAAATCAAAACTACAATGAGCTATCACTTCACACCTGTCAGAATGGCTAAAATCAAAAAGATAATCCACAACAGGTGTTGGCGAGGATGTGGAGAAAAAGGAACCCTGTGCACTGTTGGTGGAAATGCAAACTGGTGCAACCATTCTGGAGAACAGCATGGAGGTTCCTCAAAAAATTAAAAATAGAATTACCATATGATCCAGTAATTCCACTACTGGGTATTTACCCAAAGAAAACAAAAACACTAATTTGAAAAGATACACACCCCCCTATGTTTACTGCATTATTTACAATAGCCAAGCTATGGAAGCAGCCCAAGTGTCCATCCACAGACGAATGGATAAAGAAGAGGTGGTGTGTGTACACAATGGACTATTACGCAGCCATCAGAAGGATGAGATCTTGCCATCTGTGACAACACGATGGACCTAGAGGATATTATGCTAAGTGAAATAAGTCAAAGACAAATACCATATGATTTCACTTACATGTGGAACCTAGAGAACAGAACAAATGAACGAAGAAACAACAAACCCGAAACACCCAGACTCAAATACGGAGAACAAACTGGTGGTTGCCAGGGAGGAGGTGGGTAGGGGGACAGGGGAAGTAGGTAAAGGGGATTAAAAGGTACAAAGTTCCAGCCATAAAATCAGTAAGTTACAGCAATTTGAAGTACTGCATAGGGAATATAGTCAATAAGACTGTAATAATGTTGTATGGTAAAAAAAAAAAAACACAAAAAACACAAAAAACAAAACCAAAGTTATCTGCCACTCCTATGACTTCAGGACACACTAAGGACTCATGTCCCTGAGAACAAGGTACTTACAGGAGGTGTATCAAGGGAAAAGCAGCATAGGGAATTTGCGTGTACTTAGCATTACCTGCTCCTGATCCAATTTTTCTAGTTCTCTTCGTTCCCTTTCTAAAGCCTCTTGCCGCTCATTCTGCCTTCTTTCTTCTCTCTGCCTGCGTTCTTTCATGTGCTCTTCCCATATTTGTTCTTCTTCCTTCTGTTCTGCCATTTGTTTCTGATCTACGCCTAATGGGACAGAAAAGAAAAGGCACGTAGTTTCCAGCATCGGATTTTTCAAATATACGCATGAGTGCTTTGCAGGGGCCCTTGCCAAGACTCAGGAAGACTCTGCTTGGTTCTTGGAGGACTCTTGACCTGCTCCATCTTCAAGCCCCCAAACCCACTCCTAGCCCTGTGCCCTGCCTTTTACTTTGCTAAGATGAAGACAAGTCACCCTTAATACGATGACTTTAACTGCCTCTCACGACCCCCCAATCGCAGCTTCTTACGCTCTTTGCTCACCTCCGCCCTTCCCAAGGCAAGCTCTGCATTTGGTTAGGAGGCTGCCCCCGGCTTGAGGACTCAGACTTAACCGTCAGTCCGTCTTCATTTACACAGCACTTTCCCAGCTCTTCCCCTTGCTCCTGCGCAGGCGTCCCAGTCTCTCCTGCCCCAGACAGGACGCGCCCCCTGCCCCGGTTCTAGCCAGCTCGCTGCTGCTGCCCACCTCCTCCAGGCTGACCCCCGACCCTTCCCATACCTCCCTCTCTACGCCCGACCTCTCTCCCCGTTTCCTCGCTCCCTGGTTTCTAACAGGCTTCCTGCCATCAACACATGGAGACCCCAGAGCCCTGGCTTCATACCTGAACTCATCATTCCTGTCCCTTTAATCATGCTCTTTCCATGCTATGTCCACTCGGCCACCAGGGCTTAGAGGTTCTTCTTCCTCCTGCTGCACTGAGGGTCCTTATCACCATTTACCTGGGTCGCTGCAATCATCTAGTCAATGTGCTCCAGGACACTCGTCTCTGCCTTCAAGCAACCCACCTTCACCCCCGTGAGCACCAGTCACTTCCTGGATCTGCTCTGCCCACTCTCTGCTCTGGGGGACTCCTAAGCCACAGTGGTTTAGGCTGACAATCTGCCTTTTTCTTTCCAGACTGTCCTCTTCTATCACTGTAACTTTCACATTCGAAATATTCCGTCTATAGAGCAAGCCGCTGTTAGCTGAGCACAGCTGCATCGGCCTTGAGCCATGCCCTTGCTTTCACGGCCTCCTTAACCTGACATGCTCCCTTCTTCCCCCACAACTTTACCTCCTATGCAAGCCTTCACTTAAAAGCCACCTCCTCTGTGAGGTCCTCCTTATTCCTAAAGTGACAACTGGCCATTCCAGCACCTTATTCACACAGTGCTTTGTACCTGCCTTGTCACAACCCATAGGCATCTGTCTCCCTACTTCTGTTCCTTCCGGCTAAGGACCATGTTTTAATCGTTTGTTTCCTAAGCTTGCAACACAGGTCCCCACGCCTCACATGCTGAATTCAATCTCAATTCCACAGATGACTGTGCTGACCTTTTTCTCCTCCAGCCCTGGCCTGTAACCTCAACTTTCCCCAGCAATGCTAAGAAACAACAAATTCACAGGTTCACCACGGGATTTCAAAGCTCGTTGCTGTGCCCTGTCCTAAGTACTAGCAAAAAGTTAGCTTTACTGACGGGACAGGAGCAACACTTTTCTCTTAACCCTGGTCAGGAAATTCTAATACCACAGGAGGCACTGACCATATCCATAGGCAGCGACGCAGTGTCCTGCCTGCTGGGGCAAGGAGGCTTACTCCTCGGTCTATCAGGCTCTCCCACGGAGCAGCAACCTCACAGTAAGAATGCAGTTTGGGAGCGAATTTAAACACACGAAAAGGGCTGTTTCTTCCCTGGGAGGTGTACTCCGTAGCCGAGTCTAGTGTACTCGGCAGAGGGGCATACCGAAACCGCCTTGGACATTAAGAACAAAGAAAAGAAGTGTTTCCACTGGCACAAAGGCATCAAGCCTGGGCTTTTTCATTTCCCTTGGCACCCAGATGAAGAGCTGAAACAACAAATATGAGACTTTCTCAATGACCAAAAGGTAACCACACTATTTAAGAGTCATTTAAAAGGCCATTTACCATAATCTATGTCACGTGTCAGAAACAGAACACCTGTCTGCTCAGTTGCTTTCCCTTATTCTATTACGTTATTTTTCTTCCCTGCTCACTCAGCTCTCTGCCGAACGGCTGCCCATCAGATCTGCTCTCGGACACCACGGTCCCTATCTGTATCTATCCCACTGGAGGTCCTCGGTGACAGCCTGCCGACTGTCCAATTCTCCTACTAGAAGCTCCATGAGGCAGGGGCCTGGGTTGGTACACTGCTGTATGCCCAGCCACGAGGAAAGTGCCCAGCAGAGAAAAGGCTCTTGATCAGGCCTCAATGAAGGAGTGCTTTCCAGAATGATTTACTTTGGAATCAGCAAAAATCAACCCTCTCAAAGTCTCCTGCTTCTTTGAGGGATTGCTCATATTCCCAACTGTGCCTTAAACCAAGAAACTGTTTCTAAGAGGCTTTGCGTAGCTTTTAGGGATGATGTTCTCCCAATGTTTGCAAAGGACTAATAGCTGGTTTTACTTGAAGCATTTCCTTTCAACTTTGAGGCTTCAACACTTAGGTCCAAGAAGAAAAGGACCTGGCTGTTGGCTGAGCCCTGGAGCAAAGCTCCAATGTCCCCGCTACACCTTTCTTCCACCTGGGGGAGGGAAGTCGGTCATCTGGAGGAAGCAAAGGAAAGACAAGGTGAGCCCGCAAGACAAGTGTCATGACCAGTTTTCCTGCAATGTCACCAGCTTTTCTAAAGACTGAAATATATAAAGGTTTTGCTTATCTTACTTTCTTAAGGCATGGAGGAAGCAAATAGAAAACGAAATAAGATTCAATATTACTAATTCGTTAATCTATTTTGTTTACTAAAACAAAGGAAAACTTACTCGGGTAGTGATAGGACATAGGTCTGGCAGCCGCAGCAGCATCCACGTGAGGCATGTCGCCAGCAGGATGGAGGCCGTCCGCTTCAAACTGCCTCGTTGCACTCCCTGCATCTACACGAGGGGCAAAGAAGTGTCCTGTGAGTCCTCAGGAATGCGGACAAGAGAAGGGAGTGCAGCGCAGTGTCGGGAGAACTCATGGTGAAGCACGTGCATTTTGGCCAAAGCAACTGGGCCAGCTCTTTGTCTCGAGGACTCTAGAAGTCTGCATTGGAGCCGCCTGACCAAGGTATTCACTTCTCCCAGTGTTATTCTGCTTTCAAGAATTAGATGCCTTTACAAAATCTCATTGGTCAGCCAAAGGGAAAAATCAATCAAGTGAAAGAATTCACCTGGCTTGCTGATAATCACTTGAATTCTATTTGAAATCAATGATTTAACAAACTTAGTCAAAAGGATTTTGAAAGATTTACTAACCTTATCAGTGAAATGTTCAAAACACGATGCTTTCACACTCGCCATGAAAGCTCACAAAGCAAAATGGCAGGTTACGTGCAAATATGAAGACCTCAAAGGTGGAAAGAGCTGCGGGGATGACCCTCGCTACAGCTCCATCTTGTACTTAAGCAGTGGGCTCTAGGCAGGGCCACAGCTGGACACCAATCCTAGACTCGCAAGCTTGTATTTTTTTACCCCCATTTTTTAATTTAAAAAATGGGCTTTCTAAATCTTAGGCAGTCAATGGAATCAGTATACTTCAAATAAAAATAATAGCATACTCCTGTTCCATAAAAGGGAAAAGAGAATTTTTAAAAATCACTTATTTTAAATCTGAGGCAATCCCAAACTTGGTAAACTGAGTTAAGGAGTCACTTATAGGCTCAGTTTGAAATTGTGAGCTATCCTCAAATGCTTAATAAATGGAACTCAGAACGCACCCCTGAAAATCTTCATGATATAAAAATGAGGCAATGTATCTGTATTTGTGCTTCTATCACAAAATAAAAATGTCCTGGAGCCCCTGGGTGGCTCAGTCGTTAAGCATCTACCTTCGGCTCAGGACATGATCCCAGGGTCCTTGGATCGAGCCCTGCAACGGGCTCCCTGCTCGGCGGGAAGCCTGCTTCTCCCTCTCCCACTCCCCCTGCTTGTGTT